TTTGACGTTAAATAAATACACTGTTTGCATCTAAAGGCAAAATGACTTGGACTTTCATTCATCGGATCAGGTAACGAAGCGCGTCAATGGAGTTTTCCCGTAGGATTCCCTCAGTGGCTTAAAGCTTGGCTTGGCCTCTACAGTCTTGTTGAAACACCCAACAAGATTATTCCATGTAGTGTAAAGCACTTAAAGTATGATACTTCCACCACCGTGCTTGACATTAGTTCTGGTGTTCTGAGGGTTTAAATTCTCACCTTCCCTCCTCCAAACATATTACTGATCATTGTGGCCAGATATCTACATTTCTGTTTCATCCGACCACAGAAAATGAAGAGGGGTCACTTAGAACTAAAGACCGCCATGGTATACGTGGTCTTGAAATATCAGTTTTGGTGGCGTGTATGTAAACTTTTATTCATGACTGTATCTGGTGTCGTAAACAACTCCGTCAGACCCTTAGTTTAAATCCATAAAGTGCTTGAATTGTGCATTTTTTTTTAATGCGTGTGCGCTTTAGCGTCACTTGTCTTCAGCAGAGATGCTTCCTACAGTAACTCTTTCTGACAGAGCTGTCCTACTCGAGGGAAAACACGCATGCCTATCTCCCTGCGTCGACACAACCCTCACAACCAAAATATGCATATGAATGATTCATGGGATCATTGAAAACAATACCAGAAACTCACACACACTCCCATTGCTAAGAAAAACACACATTCGCCGCCTGTCAGGAATTACAAACAGCCTTTTATCTAAAATTGTCCTGGTGATTTCCAGAACATGATTCTTCTTCCTGTTTGCCTTTTCGAATCTCTTAAACGTATCAGCTTTCGCGGCCGCCGGAGGGAACCGAGCTTCTCAACACGCTGTTGGGTTTGGCAGCGAAGACACTGATAGCCTGGGAAAAGCTGCCTCTGTCGATTTCAATTTGTCCAATTACCTCGGCAGCGAAAAAGAGGGTGGAAGTGTGGAAAATTTGAATTAATCAGGAGGGCTTCCAGCTCCTGGTGCCATTTAACAGCCAAATTATATTGAATATTTTCCAATTTACTTCTACAAGTAGCTTTTTTTGTAAACTGTCAGTTTGGGTTATGAACAGAAGCGAAATGTGGCTCTCACTTGTTGAGTTTGGCCATGTAGATCTTGATGTGGCCGAAGTCGGGCCTCTCGGCCGGGTCCTCGGCCCAGCAGCCTTCCATCAGGATGGTCAGCTCCTCTGAGTGGCATCTGTTGTCCGTTGTCGGCCGAAAGTACGGCTTCTGACCGTTCCTCACCTTCTGGACGATCTCTGCAGCGGAAAGAGAAAGAAAATGAAATCTAGAGCAGAGGATTCAGCAGCTGTGTGTGTCTGGGTGAGCAGGATGTTACAATAATGTCACATTTCATGCTGACATGTGTGACTAGATGCTGTTTAACGTGCAGCTGAGCTCCCCGTGTTAAACGTACTGAGATGAGGTGGATAAAAAAATATTATACGACTCAGGAAAACATTTTACCCATAATTCCTGCAAATTTAGTGATTTGGACTTCACTTTAATAGCATTAAATAGCTTTTCAAAGGAGTAGTTCAGCATTTTTGAGTATAAATATGTGTATTTGCTTGCACGCTAACATGAGAAGATATTATTTGATTCCCACGTTTCTCAGAAACAGACCTCCCACCCATGGTGGTACGCACGTTTTATTATCTTTGGGACGAAGCCAGAACTATTTCTTCCTGTTTCCAGTGTTTGTGCTGAGCTCACCAGCTGCTGGCTCATCTAAATATGGTGAAGACAGTGACTCAAAGTAATTTCCCCAAATATCAAAGTGCTCCTCAAAGCTCTTCTAAGGCTGGTGGAGGCTTTTTTTTTTGCCCCCCCTCTCCTCCAAAATGCATTATTCCAAAGACATTTCTCTCAGCTAATGAAAAGCCCAGAGTGACCATTTGTCCTGCATTTGGCGGAAGTGACCTTTCTCAGAATATATGTAGGAGAACGCGAGTAGTGACAAGAAATGATGACGCTTGAGTAATACATGATGATAAGAAACATACAAGCTGACATCTGAGGGCTCTTTGTTGCTGCTCACCTCAACAGGTACTTTTATTTGTTCTTTTAATGAATTAATTTACCCTCACAGCCCCCGTTACACACTGTATTTATTCATTTTATTAATTGTTTGGGTGCTGAAGGGCTTTCACCAGCATCATTAACAGGAGAGGAAACAAAAGCAAGACTCAGTATCGTTGTGTTTGCATTTTAAAGTCTTGCTTTTTGATATTTTGTCCACCACATGCAGTAGTTTACAGTAATTTAATACATTTACTACTCAAGCACTGTACTTAAGTTCAATTTTTGGGAAACTGGAACGGAATAATTCAAATTTTTTTTACTTAATACTTCCGGTCCACAACAGTTAAGATAAGAATAAGATAAGAATTTACACATTATAGCAGCTAGAGACAAATGAAGCAGTAAAAAGTCAAATAAAGATATAACAGAGAATATGTACACGTCTCATATTTGCAGTAGAAGTAACAGCGCTGCTTTATGTACTTAAAACTGGAGGTTGAACTATGCCACTTTACAACAAACTGTAAAAGCTGTGAGCTCAACATGGGCAAACAACCTCAACAAACCTACATTTAAAGTGAATTCTCAACATTTTCTTGACTATGTGATGTTTGAGACAACTCGGTGTCAAACTGAAGTGAAGCATTTGTTACGAAAAGAAGGGTTTCAGGTTAGCGCCAAGCTGTAATTACTCTGTTTCTCATGTTTAAAGAGAAAACTAAGGGCAGCAAATCAAACCGTGGATTTGAAGGACAGTCAGTAGTTGTAATCCTCAGGCAAACTACAACAGCACTACATTCTTGAACAGAAGAGTTTTTTTCCTTTTGCATGTTTTTTTTTTCACAAAGGGCAGAAAAGTTCTAGACAGTTTAGAATTATGTCTGGAAGAGTTCTGAAAATGAGCAGAACAGTTTGAAATATTGTACTTTTTAATCTACTACATTTATTTGATAACTTTGTTCAATAGCTACCTTCAGATTAGTTCAGATTAATAATACAAAATACTGTAAAATCAGCAAACAGATTATGTTATAATTCGATGAGGATGAAACTTTATAGATGCCCAGGGGGGGAATATTTGCAAACTACCCAGCAGTAAATCATCATTAAAATCACCTTTAACATTAAAG